AAATAAATAAATAAATGCAAATTAAAACGTCTTCATCTATCAAATTGACGAAGACGGAAAAAGCTGAAGAAAATTGCTGAACATACTGAAAAATGGGCACCAAGTATTTCTGCTGAAAGGAAGGTAAATTGGTAGAACTGTTTTGAGAGGCAGACTTTACAGATATGTTGCAGATCCTTAGTGTGATGTCAGTCACTTAAAATTCCTACTTTATATAAGCCCTTCTATTTTCCCCAACTCCCAGTTGGACATATGTTCAACAAACAGGCTTTGTTTAAGTATTAGACACCTGCACTGGAACCTAAAATTAAAGGATTTACTTTTGTTTATTTGGTTGGATAGAATTTCTTGGCATTCTCTGTTTACAAAAATATGCAGTTGCACCTGTCAAAATTAGTATTTGAATTATACGGGTTGGCTTAATTTCTAAACATAAGTCTAAATCCTCTCATGTTTCATTCATTGTTAAGAAATATTTAGGTTTAAGAGAGAAAAAGGAAAGAAGGAAATAAAAGCAGAGAGAAATTTTAATTTCTCAGTGGGGCTTTATTATGTCAAAAAGTGAGCTATTTTTGTTTTTTAATTCACATTTTGGTTGAGTTGTTACTAAATATATTTCTTCACAACTAAGCCACCACAGAACCAATTTTTCTTGGCTTATGTGTTTGCTGTTTTCTTAAAGTAGCCCCTGCTCTTATCAAGTCTGTGAAATTGCTTTAGCAACCATATCCAAAGATAGGATGTAGTTGTTAAAATTGGACAACGAGAAAGATATAAGAGGGACATTTTCTAAATTCAATAGAACTACAATAGAGCACATTTTTAAAATGAAGTTGTTCATTTAAACTAGTAGAAATAAATGTGCCTTAGCCAGTTTAGCCCCATTTCTGCCCCCCAGTGGGGTCCTTAAAATGACTGTAAGTTTTCAAATAATAAAACAGGGATATATGACAGTAGTAAAAATGATAAAAATGGCTGACATTTATTGAGTGCTTGCTACATGCCAGGTACTAATCCAATCCCATTACATATATACATGTATTTATACCAAGGTTTAATCTTGGTATAAATTATTAACAGGTATTTAACCTTTGTTAATGATATTTTAGAGCTCTTTATTAATACAAGTTTTCTTTGTTTTATTTATGTTGTAGCTATTTTCCTGTTTGTGATGTGTCTTTGGCTTGGTTTTATATTTTAAAAATATATTATTTCCAAAAGTTCAAAATATTATGTAATAATCCTTCATGGTTTTACTTTTGCTTATATGCATAATAGGGCATTTGCTACCCCGATATCCACTGTTCATTTAATTCTTTTTAGCTTCTATTTTTATATTTAATCTTAATGACAACCCTATGGGAATTTAACCTCATAACATCCATTATTATCTCCATTCTACAGGTGAAGAAACTACAGCACAGGGAGGCTAAGTAACTTAAGCTCATACAGATAGTAAATGATAGAGCAAGGAAGTGAAAAAAATAATTGACACTCTTCTTAGGAGTTTTCTGGTAAGCTACAAAGTAGAAGGGGCTACTGAATCTAATGAGTAAATTAAAGCAGAGTACAATCTGATGTACTTTCTGAATATAGCAATAATATGTATTGCAGATTTGTTCACTTGAGCTTTCAGAAGACAATTCCTTTAAATTAATCTTACGTTGGCGATCTCCTTTATTCCTCCTTTTCCTTTAATCTCAGAGTTAAAAGCTTACTTTAGCCTGATTTGTATATCTCAAATGTAATTATGTTCAACCATACTTTCCTGGAAAAGTAATATGTTTTGCCCTTTTATTATTTTTTCTTCAGGCAAAAATTAGTTCCAGTTAGTTCTGATGTTTTATAAAGAACAAAGAACTTAAGTTTCTCTTTTAAATGCACTTGGAAACAGGGTGTAATCTAAATTTGGGGAGACCTTTACATATCTCAGAGTTTATAAATAATAAGACCCCTAACTTTTTAAAGTTTTCCCTAGGATATTGCACTTATCATCTAAAGGAGTTTCTGTTTTGCAGATAACAGCTTTTGCTTAACTTTTTAAAAATCTATTTTACTCAGTTGATATTTAGAAAACTGTATTTATATAGGCTGCTTAAGACCATGAGTAGGTATACTTTGTTCTCAATAACATCTTTTGAAAAAGAAGCTACCAATATATACAGCAAGATCCAAAACTCTTATTTTGACATCTAGTAATTGACATCTAATACAATGTCTCCACTCTGCTTCCCATTGTATTACAAAGTTCAGTGTCTTCCAGTAAAGAATGCCCTAACTTAACATTTTATGAGACATAAAGATGGTAAACGGAATCCTGCCATGTGTCCACATTCAAACTGAAGCACTCTGCTCTGCATATGTTGAGACATTTGTGTTGCGTATTATTTCAAGATTCAGGTATTGAGCGCTGAGATGTCCAAGTAAATACTTAGATGGTGGTTGAAATTGCAGTCTTTTGAAAGAAGTGAGTAAACTCTGAAAGACTTTTCATTTAAAACAATAGGCTGAAGGAATTGAAATTTTCAAAATTACTCTCATTTTTGTATGTATCATCTGTAGAGACTACCACCCCCTTTCAGCTTTGGAAGTTTAGGGCAGCAAAATAATTTTCTTCAGAATATATAAAAAATAACTAAAGGGTGAATACCTTTATATTATTTTCTTATCATACCACAATTTGCCTGGGTTCCATTTCTTTTTATTCTCGTTCATGAGATACTGATTAATAAACAGGTTTTATGTCTAGAAAATTCCCATCTCTAAATCAAGATTAGTATTCATTGGCTTTTACACCATAAGACTAAATGTGTTAAAAAAGGAAGAGATGGAGTGTAAATTCCTGTGCTGTGTGTGAGGTGATTTTCACCTGACCAACATCATAAACTCCTCCCCTTCTACAGGTGTGGGCACTTTTGTTTTCCTCTCTCTCCTCTTTCCACTAAGGGCTAATTAGGGAAGTAGCCTTGAAGAATAAGCTTGCCATTTATATAAAAGGAGCCACTGCACTGATACACAGCTGAAAATCCTCACTTTTGGACCGAACTCCCAGCAGGTAAACATTTATTAATTAATATAATACATTTCCAGTCATAGTTTATAATTGCAGAAAAGGATGGGAAAAATAGAGAAGAGATGAAATCCAACTTTATACAGGAAGAATACATTGCAATTAGGTTTCAAGGAGAGATATATGTTGTTTTGTTTCTTGACGTGTTTTTGTTTTGAGGTTTTTTTAATCTTAAATTTTGATAGGAGGAAAATAAGCATTACGAAGTATAAATTTTTTTGCATTGTGATATGGTCACAACTAGAACAACCTCTCTGAAACAAAAATCCTAACATGAAAAATAATTACTAGCATTGGATTATAAGTGCTTAAAAAATGTATTTCCTCATTAACAAATGCCCACTATTGTACTGTAAATAGTGTATTACATTATAAAAACAGAGATCTTATGTTTTAGTGTTTATAAGACTTAAAGGTCTCCCAGGAGAGTGTCATGCTTTCATTGTTATGATAAATATTAATTAATAAAATAGTTTAGATGCTTGCTCTGTGCTTATAAACACTCAAATGCCCCCAAAGAAAGTTCAGTTTCTAAAACTTACTTGAGCATAATTATTTTTCTTGACAAATACTTTCAAACAGTGAGTCTATTGGTTATAGTTTGTTTAAAGGAGTTACCAACCTGTATGTTCCAATGCCAGAACATACTGATTATGGACGGTCTGTAATCGAGTGGTAAGTTATGACACTCTGCTCTTGGAGCTTTCAGAGTTATTCGTCATTATGACTCTAACATGACTGAAAAATGTGCAGAAAATATTTTCTGCATCTATGAGAATTCTGCTCTATTTTGTGGCATTGAAAAAATCTTTCTATTTAATGAAAGATCCTTAAGAAATTAATTGCTGTTTACTGAAAGGGTATTGTCAAATGTAGATTAATTGTAGTGTCCTCTCTGTATGAATCCATGGGGGAATGTCTCTGATTTTAGCTTGTCACCCTGAGTAATTTGGGAGTTGCAAGAGTACAGTCTAGAAGGGTAGGTTGAAGCCTGATTAAGGAGAGGTTTTACTCTTAAGAAGCTAGAGTACTGGACTTTAGAGATGGCATAAGTGAAAAAACAAGCAAATGCTAGTGGAAAGAGGATAATTTTCTGGGCAAAGTGAATCATGTAACTAATCATATTTGTTTCTTTTTATGTTAGAAGGTTTAGTGTCAAAAGTGTCCCCTCGCCTGCTGCAAGTACAATTGATTCTCATTGTGGTAATTATTTTCAATACAATGATACCAGACACTGACTTAGTTGATACTGAAACATTGATCCTAACAGAAATACAGTTAGGTTCCTGTCAGCCTCTGGTCACAGTATTTTCATCAGCAGATCAATAATAACCTTGTTTTATGTGTGTTTTTGTTGAAAGACACATTAATACATATCATTGATTCAGGAACATTATAACTCATGTCCAAACGAAACTTACCTAACAGTTGTATTTTCTCCAATATTCACATCACAGCCTTTTTGCACTTAGGAACACCTATATAGCACCTAAGTGCTATGCTTTTGGTCTAATTTAAACAGCAAAATTGACAAAAAGCACAGAAATTTGAAAAACTTGGCACTAAATAGACCATGAAAAGGATGATTGTTTACAGTATAAGAACAAACAAGAAGGCAGAGGGATACCCTGTTCAACCTTAGCTAGAAACATGAGTTAGGAAACCCAGTTCTTTTTGCTGCTCTCTATACATGACTACAAATGACTGCAGAAGTGCCACAAGTATTGATTTGGGAATTACAAATAAATTTTAGTGAGCAGGAAAATTTTCAAATGTGGAATCCATGATTAAGGGGGATCATCTTTATACATAGGATTATGTTCCACGCTCCATACTTTGCATATTAACCTCACTTTTGACTCCATATTACTTTGTCCCTTTATTTCTCCCTTGCCTTAATTTTAAGTCAAGCTTAATTTTTCTTGATATATTTTATGTGTTTTCATAAATGGCTTTAGATCCTTCAAGGAACAAACCAGGTAATAAAGCAGCAATTATCAACAAATATTCTAATTCCTACTCTTTTCATTGGCTACTTTGCTAAGTATTCAGGCATAAAAAGATCTCTAGACATCAACCTGATTAAGAGGTTCATGATCCACTGTCCTTTGAAATAATTTTGTTTCATTTTTGAAACTTAGTTGAAATAAATGTATTTCAAATAAGTACTACAAAGTTAAAATTGTATTTAGAGATGACACAAGTTAGTGAAAAGTTAAACTGATGAAAAAGTGAAGAGATGATGGCTGTACTTCTTTCTTTGCCATTCTGAAGTATGGCAACTTGATCTTTTCAAAGTTTCTAATAGTGGTCCAGACTGGGCGTACTAGGATTCAAAAGCCTCTTTGATGTTCAGGTGCTGCCCTGGCCCCTGCAATCTTTTCTGACTCCTGCAGAGAGCACAAACACCTCCAGTGTACCACTCAGTGAACTAGAGCCCACAGGGCTTAATCATATGCTTTCCAGAACTTCAGGCTTACATCAACCTAATGATAGAATGTTACAGCAGATTTTAGGTAGATTACAGTTGAATTACAAATAGATTACAATTGAGAACACAAACACCTCAAGTGTACCACTCAGTGAACTTCATATGCTTTCCAGAAGTTCAGGCTCAAATCAATCTCTTGATAGAATTTTACAACAGATTTTAGGTAAATTGCAATTGAACATTCAGGGTATCCTGTAATCACATGGGTATGCCACACAGGGAAATTGAGTAAAGTTTTCTCTACCTGGAAAATATGTTGTAAAGCAATGATCCCAGCTCTCCACAGAGGCACCACATTCTCCTGTCTAGCTGAGTTCTCTTTGCCATCCTAGTGCCTACCTGCCACATATAAGTTGATAAGCTCTGCTACACTGAATGTAGAAATATTTTTTTTCTTTAATTCAGTCCATCCCTGATTGGAATGATGCCGAAAAAAAGTTTTCTTGGGAACAAAGCGGGGGAGGTGAAGCCCCCAAATCTAAAAACATGTAATTGCATGAGAATGATGACTTTGCATACCTTTTATGTAGGCCCTTCTTCTTTTTTAAATTTTATCTGGCTAAAACGAGCCTCAGCCTTTGCCCACTTCTGATTCTACATTTTCAACTAGGTATTTCTCTCCAAGTTATTCCTCATAACCACCCAACCCACTCAAGTCTTTCTCTAGTCTTTGTCCCACATTGTGAAAAGGATGTTGTTCTACTTACATCAAGATTCTTATTCTAAGCTTCATATTTTCCATTCAACAACTATTTAGACTGTCCCTACTGTGTGCCAGGCCCTTTGGCAGGTGCTGTGGATACAGTAGAGCACAAAGAAGACATGGGTCATACCTTCACACAGCTTATAGTTGACTCACGAGGCATTTAGATCAAATAAAACACAAAGAAATGTAAAATTACAACTGTTATACATGCCCTGAAGGAAGAATTTAGAGTATAATCAATGTGTGTAACAGACATGACCCAGTATAGATACTCACATCTGTTCAGAATTAAGTCATTTTTAAAACTTTTTAAAAAAATTTTTTTTTCTTTTCCTTCAGCACCAGTTTTTCCCAAGGATTAGGTCATTAACACTTCCCATGTATTCTCTGGTTTACCCATTCCTGTGCTTCCCCATTTTCCTTCTTCCCCCTTCAGAGGGAGCAGTGGTAGTCAGAATTATACCCAATGAAAATAGAATTACAAGAATACTCCTAAATAGATTCAAACATTAACAGGCAAAAATTAAATGCCTACCTTCAAGTTTCTGATTAGGTGTGGAGTTGCAAGAGCTCTGGAATAGATGTTGGTGCTAAACTGTTCTACCAAATTACTGATACTGGAGAAAATGTTGAAGCGTTGCTTTCCGGAATCACTCAAGGTACCATAAAATTAATAATTTTTAAAATTTCTTTATTGTCTTAATCTGTAAAATAATGTGGATATTTCCCTTTTTTTCTGATGACAAGACTCTCTAGGAGCACTTGTTAAACATACAATTTTCCAGCTCCCTCCTACTAGAAACGGATTGAACAGACTGGGATAAGGCCCAAGGAATTACAGGGGTTTTTTTCCTTTAAGTCTGGGATCCTTGTGCTGAACGTGCAGGTTTGTTACGTAGGTATACATGTGCCATGGTGGTTTGCTGCAACTATCTACCTGTCATCTAGGTTTTAAGCCACACATTCATTAGCTATTTGTCCTAATGCTGTCCCTCCCATGTCCCCCCACAGGAAACTATACTTTTCATAGTCACCTAGATGACTCCTAAGGAAATTTAGATAATTTCTAGATTATTTCTAAATAAATCTGAGTTCTAAAATATTTTAAATAGCAGAAGGGTATGGACTAGATGGCATTGCGCTTAAGAACATAATCTAGTTTAAACAATAGAACTGAGGTTTAGATTTTGTTATAAATACAGTGAAATTGCCTTTAAGGGCTGAATTTCTTGAGCAAGGAGACTGCTCTATGTCTGGTTTTCAAATGTGAGTTGCATGCAAATCACCCAGGAAAGACATAAAAAATTAGAATTTGTGAAGACAGAGACTTGCATTTTTACTAAAGACCCTCTATAATCCTTATGTATATTAAAATTTGAAGAAAAGTGATCTAGAAAGAGTCCTCTAATGCACTATACTGTGTTAATTAAATTTGACCATCTTGCCTTATTGTGCTTAAACTCTGTGTGGTATGGAAATTGTGAATAACAATTTGGAATTATTTGGCTAAAGGAGTTCTAAATGGACAATCTGACCCAAATTTTCCCAAGATCAATGCTGACACTGAAGTGAATTGAATGAAGTGGTAGGCTAGTTTGCTTTAATAACATGCCCAAATAATTATTTTGCCAGAGATAAATAAAAAAGGTTTCAGTGACGTTTACAGGGTAATAAAAGATGTTAGAGAATTTTAAAAAAGAATAAAGAAAATATAATTTTGTTTATTTACACTTTCTCCGTTTTTTGGAGTTTGTGGTAAAGTTCCTTCCTAAGCTCTCATCTCATTCCCCCAGCACATTGACTTCCTTCTAGCAACACCCCCTTAACTCAACATTCACCCTTTGAATAAATAGCTATTGGAAGAGTTTGTTTTCAACCAGTGTCAAATCTTTCAGTGGGGTTTTAAATCCTATACAAAGAAGTTACGTTTTTTCTTTCCAAACCTGAATATTGAAAGGGTTTTTCCCTTTTAACATTTTGAACATTCTCAATCATATTTAAGTTACATTCTTGAGTAAGGATGTATAGTTTCCTCATGCGAAACTATATTAATAAACATTACTCTATATATGCAAGATGAGCAGCCACAGAAATTAATGATTAACAGAACAAGCATGACCCTTCCAGGTTACTTTAGAGCTTGAATTTTCACTAAGGATGATCCACGTTACACAAAAATATAAGCCAAACCCAATTTGGAACGACTCCTTCTATGAGGATATGTGAATGAGGTCCAGATTGGGTAATACAGAAGAAAGTTGTACAATTTCAGGCACTGAAGAAAATGAGTGATTGAGATTAAAATTGTGATAAAGTCAGGTGCAGTAGCAAGCTTGTAGTCTCAGCTACTTGTGAAGCAGAGGCAGTGGGTTTATTTGAGCCCAGGAGCTCAAGGCCAGCAAGGTCCCATTTCTTTAAAAAGGTTTTTTTTTAATTAAACAAAAAAATGATAAGGGAGGTAAATGTAGGTTCCAATGTCCGCATATATATATATATATATATATATATATATATATGAAGTTCATTGAAATCTAACATATGCTACAAAGTATACACAATTTAATTATATAGCTCAATGAATTTTCATAAAGCAAATGCCTACATAACATCCACTATTACAGAGAAAGAAAATTACTTTTGACATCACTCCTTCCCATCCCCAATGATCCTTTCCAACCACTACCTTTCCCTGCTCCCCAAAAGGGACCACTATCCTGACTTCCAAAGCCATAATTTAGTTTTGCCTGTTTTTCAATGTAACATAATTGGATCACACAGTAAATATCTTTTTCATATCTAACTTCTTTTGCTTAACATTATTTTTGTGAGATTCAGGGATCTCATTTCGCAATGGCCTACTCATTTTCATTGCTGTTTTGTAATCTATAGTACCAATGTGCTACAATATATTTATTCATTTTACTGTTGATGAACATGAATGGTGGTAAAAAGGACTCCTACAGTTCGGCAGTCCTTGTTACCACCATAACTTTGTCCAACCCCTACAAGCACACATGTGATATATGAAACTGTTTTGTAGGACGGACATCTGTCTTAGTAGAGAAAAATATGTGGCTGCTTATGATGGCTCATGCCTATAATTTCAATACTTTGGAAGGCCAAAGTGGAAGGATCACTTGAACCTAAGAGTTCAAGACCAGCCTGGGCAACATAATGAAACCCCCATCTCTACAAAAAAAAACTTTTTTTTAAATTATACAGGTGTGGTGGTGATTGCCTTAGTCCCAGCTACACAGAAGGCTGAGGTGGGAGAATCACTTGAACCTGGGAGGCCGAGGCTGCAGTGAGCCAAGATGGCACCACTGCACTCCAGCCTATATGACAAAGCAAGACTCAGGAGTTCAAGGCTGCAGTGATCTGTGATTGCCCCACAGCACTCCAGCCTGGATAACAGAGTGAGACACTGTTGCAAAAATTAATTAATTATTAATTAATTAAATAAATATAAAAGTAGAGAAAACTTTAAAGAAAGAAAAAAAAAATGTGAAAGTCCACAGAACAGAATTCTAACATTATTCTGGTTTGGTTCAGTCACCAAGCATTCAATCATCTATGTCAGGCTCCATGAGCTTAAAAATGAATGAGATATAGTGATAGCCTTCAGGGAATGCTTACAGAGCCTTGCTCCATCAAATCAAAGTACAGTTTTTTGTTTTCTTTTAATTTGGGTTGGTATAACCCTCTAATGATGTCTAATCGTAATTTAGGGTTGAAGTAGTTGCATTTCACAGGTTATTTTGAAAAAGTATATTGGACTTGAAAAGCAGCCAAGCATCAAAATTTTTTTGTAAGTTTTTAAATATGCATGAAACCTAACTGCATATGTCATCCTGATTCATTCAGCAAGTATTTATTGCTGACCTATATGCCAAATACCCATCCTAGTAAGCCTATGAATTTGGTACCTCTCACTGCTATACTATAAAAAACTAGGTCTGGAAAGAGTTTTTATAGGATTTCATAGGCTTTTTACCAGTTTTCATGTGCACTGATGAAATAACAATAGAAAAATTAATGTGTGTATCTATTGTGTCTGCATTTATATGTACATGTTTATAATTTCCTCTCATGAACACGATTATACAGTAGAACAAGAAGTAAGGAAGATAATATGTGACTGAAATAGCTAATAGTATGATTGGCTTGTCTCTCTGGGTTCTGTGACTCAGGTTTATGGAGCAGTGATGAACATAAATCGTGGGAATCCCTTTCAAAAAGAAGTGGTGTTGGATTCATGGCCAGATTTCAAAGCTGTTATCACCCGACGACAAAGAGAGGTACAGTTTTGAAAGGTAAAAAATTAAAAATAAGGATTGGAAAGAAAAAATAGGTAATGATATTTTATGCCCATAGTAGCCATATACGTTAGCTTACAACACTACATGTTTCACCATTAACTTCTTTTATTTTCTATTTATTTATTTTTTGAGACAGAGTCTCATTCTGTCACCCAAACTGGAGTGCAGTGGTGCTATCTCAGCTCATTGCAATCTCCACTTTCCAGGTTCAAACAATTCTCCTGCCTCAGCCTCCCAAGTATCTGTGATTACAGGCACCCACCACCATGCCTGGCTAATTTTTATATTTTTAGTAGAGAATTTAGTAGAAACAGGGTTTCACCATGTTGGCCAGGCGGAGCTTGAACTCCTGACCTCAGGTGATCCATCTGCCTCAGCCTCCCAAAGTGCTGGGATTACAGGCATGAGCCACTGCACCCAGCCTCACCATTAGTTTCTAATTTGACTGGCTTCTGAGTGTCAGGAATATGAAAAACCTCTAGTCTAAACATGTTCAGTAAAGAGGTTCCTTAGTGTTTCATGATCTCTAGAAGGATGAAGCACAGATGGCTGATTTATAGATACTAGCTTTTTCCCTGAGGGAATGATTCCTTATGACTGATGACTTTGGTCATGTGGGTATTTGGAAGAAGAGTGAAGACAACATCTGCCCCATTCTTCCCCTGAGACCAAGGAGAAGCTCACATGGCCAAAGAGGTGCTGTCCTGACCACATTAAGAAGATTTTGAGAGTTGTAATTTTTGGAAGTAAATCCACTCAGTTATATACCCTTTTTATTTTTATAAATAAACAAAATCCTAGAAAAATGTGAAATGGATGGCTAAAAACCTTCCTAGCCAGATATGGTGGCTTGTGCCTATAGTCTCAGCTACTTGAGAGGCTGAGGCAAGTGGACTGCTTGAGCCCAGGAGTCTGAGGCTATAGTGAGCTATGATTTCACCACTTCACTCCAGCCTTGGCAACAAAGCAAGACCCTGTTGCTAAAAAATAAAAAATAATTTAAAAATTTTTAAAACAAATCAAAACCTTTTCTAATCCAAGAAGAAAGAAGAAAAAAGGTGCGGGGGCTCACGCCTGTGATCCCAGAACTTTGGAAGGCCGAGGTGGGAAGATCACAAGGTCAGGAAATGGAGACCATCCTGGCCATCATGGTGAAATCCCATCTATGCTAAAAATACAAAAAATACCTGGGTGGGGTGGTGTGCCCCTGTAATCCCAGCTACTTGGGAGGCTGAGGCAGGAGAATCGCTTGAACCTGGGAGGCAGAGATTAAAGTGATCTGAGATCACGCAACTGCACTCCAACCTGGCGACAGAGCAAAACTCCGTCTCAAAAAAAAAAAAAAAAAAAAAAAACCTTTCCTAATCCCAGGAGAAAGAATCACTGCAGCACATTAGCCCCATTCCCACTTAGCCATTGTTTTATAGGTGACTAAATTTGTTAGACACCTAAAAATTAGCTAGACATGCCCAACTAATATTATCTAATCTACCTAAGATTTGGATTATCCAGATAATATGTTTATGTTTTTATAATTATGTCCTCTGTCCTAGGCTGAGGTAGACAACCTTGATCATTATACTAATGCCTATGCTGTGTTCTACAAGGATGTCAGAGCTTATCAACAGCTATTGGAAGAATGTGATGTTTTTAACTGGGACCAAGTTTTTCAAATACAAGGTGAGGTGAAGTGCAAGACTTACATTATACAGTCATTTTTTCTCCTCCGTAGTATATATCCAGATAGATATAGGTATTTCATATATATGAAAATATACAGATTATGTGTATACACATATATGTATAAATACAAACATACATTTTATGCATTTATCATTTCTGTATTATAGTGTTATAAGAACACTTACTTGTCACTTCTAATGAGGCATGCATTGCTTTCAGGTTAAAAAGAGATCATTTAAATGGATCCATTCTTAGGTGACATATTTTTTCTATTACTGTAGCATGGAAGGATATCAGTGAGAATCAGAGAATATTTTTTCTTATTCGTTTTAATCCTTTTCTATCACACCTTTTAAAATAACTATCATTTAGGTCTTAGCCAATAGGTAGGCCTTTTATTTTTTCTGAATCAGATGATTCTGGAAAGAAATAATCAATTGTTCTGCATAATGTCCTGAAATGATTTTTTTCTCTCTTCGAGTCAAGGTCTTGCTCTGCAACCCATGCTGTGCAGTGGTGTGATCATAGCTCACCGCAGCCTTGAACTCCTGGGCTCGAGGGATCCTCTTTCCTCAGCCTCCTGAGTAGCCAGGACTACAGGTGCTACCACCACACAGGGTTATTTTTATTTTTGTACAGACAGAGTCTTACCCTATTTCCTAGGCTGCTAAAGTGATTTTATACAGAAAGAGTTTATATGAGCTGTGAGGAGATAATTTCATGGTGATCAGGGCTTGTGGCAGAACTTTATGCCAGCAGAAAGGAATATTTAAGGGTTCCTGATAGTTTAGATGAATAGTTTCAGCTTCAGTGTACACTTACTCTTCCAACTTTTCATAATGATGAGTTGTTGGTATAGGCAATAAAGTTGTTGTTTATGACTGTTCCAGTGAAAGTAGAGAACCTCATATTGGAAATGTAAAGGCTAGGAATTTTTTTTTTAAACTATAGAGAACTGAGGCCCTCCAATAAGGAAAAGCTTCTATCCACCTGGAAAATTTGCAAATAATGACTAACACATGGTCATAAGCCAAACCCTTTAGATGTCATAAAAAATGTATTTGTAAATGCTCAAAAAGACCTTATGCAAGAAGCTCTAAACTATCTCTTACCTTTACAGATTTGTCCCAGTTATGCTGGTTAGAAATGAGACATGATTCTAACACTTCCATAGCCAATTTAGAAAAAAAAATGTTCTGACCATTATTACTTTAACATAAAAATGAATAAAGTTCCTCATTGATGTGAAAAATCATGGCAGTAATTGGATGGATCTTGGTGCTACAGGCCTATTATCACTAAATCACCTTAATTCATCATTATATAGAAAAGAGGTATATAATTTCCAAAGTATTTTTCAGAAGGCTGAGCTGATAGTTGTAAGTTATAGTCATCTAAATCGACCCAGTCATTCTTTCTGAAGGTTTGGTGGGGACAAACGTGAATTAGTATCACCTAACATAGATGGAGTAGTAAAGGTCCCTCATGTAGCATGTAAGTCAGCCTGGACATTACCCTGGGCTTCTCATGTGGTCTTGACTGTAGACTTCTGTAGTAATAGCTGTAATGTTTTTGGAATACTGAATACCTTCTAGGAAGTCCCTGGTATCTTTACTATTAATTGGAGCACCTAAAAAGTTCATAAATCGTCTCTGGTTCCATAACACAATTCTAAAAGCCTACCTACTAGCCATATACATGATCAACATTTGCCACAGTACAGACTCCAGTCACAGATACTAGTTTGGCTACTGGGTAGATCAAGAATTAGGTGGTAGAGCTGCTTCAGGTCTTGGTGTCCAGAGGAATGACAAATCATGCATAGGAATGCCTTTGTCATTTTTAATCTAAGAGCCATTAATGAACAATATTAAATCATGTTTAAGCTACCAAGCTACCCAAACTAGCTAAACCACCCTTTGGTTTGCTATGTGAAGGGAGAAAGTGAAAAAGTATACAGCTACCCAGACAGGCCAGGCTCTTCTGCTCACTACTAGTTGCACTGATGTGAAAAGGATTATCTATATGTGTACTAACCTGAGAGTCTCAGAAGCCTGCTTATTGGTAACTAGTCTAAGAAATGTCCGGAATTCTGGCTTATCCAGTTAACTACTCTTCTCATAAGAAGGTAGGTAGAAAGAGGCAGAGCAAAATGTGGAAGTTCCTTTCACTTGTGGGAAAGGGGAAAATAATTTGTTAAAAGTTGTAACCTATAAAGAAGACCAAAGGACATGATCAAGAACACCATGACGAGGTAATCAACAAACTCCAAGATTATGAAAACTGCACAGCAAATGCTTGGTTTTTTTTTTTTTTAACAAATAAATTGAAAGAATCAGAGAGGGGGGTAAAGATTGAAGGAAAACATGTAGATTAAAAAATTTAAGACCACACACTTGAAAAGTAGGCAGTCTCCTTTTTTCTCATAGTCTTTTAAATTACTTAGGTGGAATTCAGTGTTGTAATATGGGATACTAGCCACAGCATCTATAATCTTCATAACATTAACTCAAAAGCTCACTTATCTTTTCTGAGGCTTAATTCCCTGAGGGAGGAGTCAAGGCTCAGATACTACACTGCGTTCAATATGCCCTCCCACTCATGCATTCTTCAAGAAGCCCAGGGCCACACTGAAGAGCCTTACCAGAGGGGAGGAGGCAAGCCATTAGCCAGGGGAAGAGGGAAAGTCAGTTTGCAGAGGATTCAATCAATCAGTACACAGACTGGAAAGGAAAGAGTGGATGGGGATTTGGAAAGGTGGAGAAAGGAGTCATTCTATAAGCTCTCTAAGAACGAAGACCAGGGAGGGCCAGGCATGGTGGATCATGCCTGTAATCCAAGAGCTTTCGGAGGCCAAGTCAAGAGGATCACTTGAGGCCAGGAGTGTGAGACCAGCCTGGGCACATAGGGAGACCCCATCTCTGCAAAAACAAAACAAAACAAAACAAAGAAACTTAAAAATTAGATTGGCCAAGGGGTGGCATGCACTCAGGAGGCAGAGGCGGGGGATCACTTGAGCCCAGTGATAAAAAGTCCCATGGGATATTCCCATGATAAGTTTCTGTAAAGATCGTGATGGTGGTCCCAATGGGCAACATCATGGGAATTTGAAAATCCTAGAAAAATCTGAAAATGACAATAGCTGTAATGATTTACATGTAAATATATAGTGGTTAGGATAATACAAGGTGGCAAACTGCTGGTATTGATGATACCCAGTATAAAAATACTGCAACAAATTTCCACTTTCCTTTTTTAACTAAAATGCCCATATATTAAATTATGTCTTTCTATACACAGGGCTGCAGAGTGAGTTATATGATGTTTCCAAAGCGGTTGCCAACTCAAAGCAGTTGAATGTAAAGCTAACTTCCTTCAAGGCTGTTTGTTTTTCTCCTGTTTCAACTCTGCCAGATGCCAGTTTCCTGTATGTAAACCAAGTTTTTGCATTTGGGGCAGGACTTACTGCTATAGAATTACAGGTAGCAGTAACTGGAGTACTTAGTATCACTACGGAGTATCTAGGCACTTTGGATTTCAGCCATTGAGCATAAATGGGTGTGTGTGTATGTGTGTGTGTGTGTGTGTGTGTGTGTGTGTGTGTGTGTGTGTGTGTTTACTCTTCCCTCTCCTGTGCTTGACTGCTCATAATTTCGTTGAAAATCAAATCAGTAACTTTGTCCATAGTTATAAATGAACTCAGGATTCGTATGTTTTCACAGTACCCATGGAAAAATTATTCCTTGGTGTCCTCCTCCCTCAAATAATTCTAAATAATTTATATTGTCTGAGTCCAACAATCCAACAATAATTTATATAGTTATTATTTTTGCTGTTTCAGGGATGGGAGTATATAGCTGACTTACGTTGAGCTCTTATGTGCCAGGGACTAAATGTCTTAATATATTATTCCATTAGTTCTTTCCACAACGTTGCAAAGTAGGACTATCATTACTGCCCCTCCCACCCCACACCTTTTTAAGCAGAGATGAAATAACACACAGGGGTAAATTATAGAGCCAAGAAATCCCAAGTTCAACTCCAGATGCAATCTTTCAAAACAATGATTAGTTTCTATCTGCATTCATTCTTCTTTTGGAGTCCCTGCTCTGTCACTTACTGATTACCTTTCCTAGTCTCAATTTCTTCTGAATTCATTCCATTAAGTGTTTTTAAAATTAATATCATTTTAAATCAACAAATAATAATTGTACACAGTTATGGGGTACAATGTGATGTCTTGATAAATGTATATAGTTTAGAATGACTAAACCAAACTAGTTAATAATTTTAAAAGTGTTATAATATTTTCTTGACATGTTGTTTTGCAAGAGACTGAAGAAAGATAGTTTAAAAACACCCACCACAATGAATACTAATTTTCTTCAATCCTATAGTGAATGTTGAAAAAATTATTGAGCAAAACAGCACTAAGCCTTAAAAAGAATGCACATTTTAAGCCATAGGAAAGCAACTGGATTTTCTTTTATTATATTTTTAATTAAGAAAATTTCAAACACACATAAAAGTTAAAAGGATAGTATAAAGAACCTCCCACCAATATGTAGCTAACCTTATTTAATTTATACAATTGTATATTTTTTCCACTCCCTGGATTGTTTTGATGAAAATGTCCCAGACATTATCCTTAAACATTTTAATATGTAACTCTAAAAAATGAATCTTAAAAAAAAAAACCCATTATACTGATATTACTCCTGTGTCAGAGGTCCCCAGGAACACCCAAGGGTTCTATGGTTCACTGTGTTGACACACAAGACTCAGCAAATATACTCATGGCTGTGATTGATTATAATGAAAAGATAAAATGCAAAATCAACAAAGGGAAAAGGTGCACTGGGTAAAGTCCAGCAGAAAACAGGCACTAGCTTCCAAGAGTTTTCTCCCAGTGGAGTCACACAGAATGTGCTCAGTCCCCAAGCAATGACCTGTAATGATATGTGTAAAATGTTTCAGACTCAAGCAGTTCTCCTGTCTGGGCCTTCCAAAGTGCTGGGATTTCAGGTGTGAGCCACCGTGCTCAGCTAAAAGTTGTCTATCAGGGAAACTTACTATTAGAGACTCAGTGCCCAGGATTTTTCTTGGCAGCATCCTCTGCCTAGCACAGACCAATTTCCTAGACTAGCAGAAGGAAAGCCAGTGTTCAGCAAAACTCACACTGTTTGCACAGTTTAATCAAAGTGAGCCATTTATGTAAGTCCTGGAAATGGTAGCCCTCCTCCAGATCCACATTCCCAGACACCAACCAAGGGTCAACCTTGCAATTAGGTCTTTTTAAGGGCAATGGCCCCAAGCCTTCTATGTTCGCCTTTTCTGTACAATCCCTTAAAATATTGTTAATAATATTTCCTTAAGTAAAATAACAGTATTCATATTTCCCAAATGTAATAATATTTTTAAGTTCGTTTTGAATCAATGACCAAGTAAGATCCATACGTTAGGACTCTTTAATATAGCTAAAGAGTAGTCAAGCCTTTTGAAATGGAGTTTTAACTTGAATTGATCTCTTTTTGCATGCAGTTAAACATTTTGTCCTTATTTTTTTTAACTTCCCACACAACACTGATGTAAACAATTTGTCTTTAACGTATAAATCGTTACCCAACTTCGTCAACTCTATTTTGAACACTGTGCCCTTTGGAAACAAGGTCAGAGTCTCTAACATTACTACTCCTGAAACACTTGCCGTAGCAGTGTTTTTATCTGCAGTGATATTTCTGCCCAAAGCTTTTTTACCCTTGCCTTAAAGTTATTTCTCAAAAATTCAATAGAAAATTCCACTAAGCCAGCTATTTTCCCCCCCTGCTTAGTGGATAGATGACTGGCCCAGTTCCATAGCTGATAATATGCCTGAAATGAGCAATAACACTACACACCACTAATTAAAAGAAAACACAAATTTTTACTATATAGAAATGATGTCAAGAACATGACCAGTCTCTTACCAGTCACTTGGGATAGTCTTATGATGTTAATAGCTTTAAGACTGAGAGCAAATTCTGAGGCACTGTCAGCCTCATAGGCTTTCATCTAAGAAATTTATTTCAGCTTTTATAAATTGCACCAATAAATTGCACCAATTATTTTTCTTTATCTTAACATCAGGGCTTTATATTGTAAATTAATAAAAACTTTCATAACATTAGAATAAACACAGTGAAAGCTAGTGGCCTATACAAATACCTCCGTGGAAAAGTTGAAGGTTGGGACTATTTAACCTAAAAAAAGCAGGCCGAGAGGACAGTTTGAGAGAACATATATGGCCGGGCACAGTGGCTCACACCTGTAATCCCAGCATTTTGGGAGCCCGAGATGGGTGAACCACCCTGAAGTCAGGAGTTCCAGACCAGCCTGGCCAACATAGAAAAACCCCATCTCTACTAAAAATACAAAAATTAGCTGAGCATGTTGGCACGTGCCTGTCATCCCAGCTACTTGGGAGGCTGAGGCAGGAGAATCGCTTGAACTTGAGGGGCAAAGATTGCAGTGAGCCGAGATCATGCCACTGCATTCCAGCCTGAGTGACAGAGCGAGATTGGGTGTCAAAAACAAACAAACAAAAACCCAAATATTTCTAAAGCATGCACATATGCCTGGCATATTAAGAAATCTGTGTTTCTTTTTTGGCTATGGATACATAACCACAGAAGTTCTATCCTAAAACTTTTATTTTATTGAGCAAAAGATTAAGGTTTCAAGAATCTGGACTTACCAAGGCCTTAGAGAGGATTTCAGCAGAGTCAGGACTAAATAAACGCAATTCTGAGGGGTTTTGTTGTTGCTGTTGTTGTTTACAGACAGTGTTAAAAGAAAAGTTTTAGACAGATTAAATTTAGCAACATTGGTCTGGGAGCAGTGGATCACACCTGGAATAATTCCAACACTTTGGGAGGTGTAGGCTGGTGGATCACTTGAGGGCAGGAGTTGGAGATGAGCCTGGCCAAAATGGTGAAACCTTGTCTCTACTAAAAATACAAAAATTAGCCAGGGATGGTGGCACACCTGTAATCCCAGATACTCAGGAGGCTGAAGTATGAGGATCGCTTGAACCAGGGAGGTAGAGTTTGCAGTGAGCTGTGTTGTGCCACTGCATTCCAACCTGGGAGACAGAGTAAGCCTCTGTCTTAAAAATAAATAAATAAATAAATAAATAAATAAATAAAAATAGAACGTTTATTTGAGCAAAGAACGGTTCATGAATCTGGCAGCACTCAGAATCAGAAGAGGTTCAAAGTTACACCCACCAGTGGGAGATTTTATAGGCCAGATCACAGAAGCAAAGTAGGCAAATCCTCTGATTGGCAGCAGCTAGGTATCTGCATTATTTGGGCATGGTCTGCTCACTTACTTGCCTATGGTTGGCTCATTTAACAAACTCAACCATTTGTTATACTCCTAGGGTTGTTTGGAGTCATTTATATACTATGGTAGGTTGCAGTTCAACACATGGGGACTCAAGGTATGGAGGGAGCTGCAGGTCGAATTTAACTGATTTAACAACAGAAACACTTTCCTTGACCTGTGCTGAAGATAAAAGCAAGTGAACATAAAATTAGAAGCAATGACTTAAATTTGGTGTAGTAAGTGCTTTGTCTTCTCAGAAATAAAACTCCGAAAGTTGCTTGTAAATTGGGAATAGTGAATTCTAACTCACTGAAAATCTTAGGTGCCCTCTCAGGGATGGTTACTCATTTTGAGCCATCAAAATGAGTTATAGGCCAGGCGTGGTGGCTCATGCCTATAATCCCAGATCTTTGGAAGGCAGAGACGGGCAGATCAGGAGATCAAGAGTTCAAGACCAGCCTGGCCAACATGGTGAAACCTCATCTCTACCAAATATACAAAAATTAGCTAGGCATGGTGGCTGGGCCCTGTAATCCCAGCTACTGGGGAGGCTGAGGCAGGAGAATTGCTTGAATCTGGGAGGCGGAGATTGCAGTGAACTGAGATCGCACCACTGCACTCCCACCTGGGCGGCAGAGCAAGACTCCGTCAAGAGAGAGAGAGAGAGAGAGAGAGAGAGAGAGAAGTAGTTATTTATAATCACGTGATTCTGAGGTCCTATTTGTTCTCGTGTCATTCTGATCTAGGAAGGGGCCTTCCCCACGACTAACCTACTTGAGTGCTGCTGATGCGGATCTACTCAACCGGACTTGGTCGCGGGGTGGCAATGAGCAATGTCTCCGGTACATCGCCAACCTCATCGCCTGCTTCCCTAGTGTGTGTGTCCGGGATGAGAAGGGAAACCCCGTCTCTTGGTCCATCACAGACCAGTTTGCCACCATGTGCCATGGCTACACCCTCCCAGAACATCGCAGGAAAGGTTACAGCCGGCTGGTGGCTCTCACGCTGGCTAGGAAGTTGCAAAGCCGGGGATTCCCCTCTCAGGGGAACGTCCTGGATGACAACACAGCATCTATAAGCCTCCTGAAAAGTCTCCATGCTGAGTTCTTGCCTTGCCGCTTTCACAGGCTTATTCTGACCCCTGCCACTCTCTCTGGCCAACCTCACCTCTAGCCCAGTGAAAAACTGCAGTGGTTTTCTTACTTTCCTTGAGCATACACACTCTTGGCCTCCAATGAGGGGAGAGTTAAAATGGGAATCGGGATACCCTTGGGTTGTTGGAAAGTATCTGGCTAATTCATACAGGATCCACTTGAGAAGCCTTAATTCTTTGCATCTCAGCTTTCTCCAGTAAGTAGCTTTGGGGCTGAAGAGTAGCTGTGGCTGAAGACAGGATGATTGGCTCCACTGTATGAGAATAGGTTCTAAAGCCAGCAGTTTTAGTGTACTGGAAGAAATTACTGAATGAGAACAAATGATTTAACCAGGACTATGGGGCTACTGCTTTAACTTTGCTGCTTGCACCTCTGTATTCTGAGAGCCACATCGCTTCCCTACTGCGATCACTTTCCCCTATTCCCACAGCTGTGTCTTGCCAACCTCTGTTCCTAACCACCTCTGCTGCCAAGTTCTCTGTAGAGTAACCTGCTTTTTCCCTTTTAATTACTTGCTCTTTACTTCTGCCTGGGACCCTAGCTTATAGTTTGCTCTCCTGGGAATGTTCAAATGCAGTGGTTCTTACGTTTTAGTGTTTATCAGAATCACCTGGAGGGCAGGTTGCAACAGGCATCCCTAGGCCTCTCCTGCTATGAGGTAGGGCCCCCAAATTTGCAATTCTAACAGCTTCCCGCTGCTTCTTTGCCTTGGATGAATGACAATATGGGCATTTTGATGCTATAAACGAATGCTGTAAGCATAGGACTAGACCTTACCTGTAATCTATTTCAGCCCCTTATTTTTATCATCTATTTCCCATATAAAACTAAGATTCATACCTAGGGGTGTGTGGGGTATACAAATGAATATATAACATATATGCATATACATATATATATATATATACATTCAATTCATATCTTCTATATGTATATGTATATACTCATAGAATTTTGATAAGATAATAAACTTTAACTCTCTGATTACATATGAAAAATTTGAGAACCAGAGAAAAGAAATAACTTTGTCAAGATTATATTCTTTATAATCCATACTGGAGGCAAAGCCAGAATGCTGTACTTTTAATTCCAATCAGTTCTTTTCACTAAATCATGTCTCTTTTTTATAAAGAAACTTATAATGCTTAAATAATTAAAATATTAATTTATTTTTCTTTTATCCTTGTCATTATTTCTTCTTAATTTGGGTTCCAGTTGCTTGTGTATGTGTATCTTCCAAGGACAGCAAAGAAAGAGTTAAGTATCACCAGCTATGTTCTCCATTTACAATAAAAGCAGGCACTACCAAAATTGTTGGATTTGCCTTGTCTTGATGAACTTGACTTAGCTGTATAGAAAATACTGATTTCTGGTACCCAAGGAGGACATAAAATCCTGACTACAAAGATAGGGGAAAATCCAACTTTTAGGTGTTTATTCTGAGAAAAGGAAACAAACTGGCTGAAGTAGAGCACATTTAAATAATAATAATAATAATAATAATAATAAAAGACTCAGTAAGAATGAATATATGCTTAGTTCAAGCCCATGGTTACCTGGAAACTTATCTATTGTTGGATCCAGAGAGAAAAGTACTAAGTAACCAGAATCCATAAACCTCTTAGGAGAATATACCCTAAGGATGCTAATTATCTTTAGCATTGAGCTTGATATACGGCAATGTTATTATAGCCTTATCTTTTTCCTAATGATAATTTCCCTAACATTTGACATTTAACTGTGTGCTAATAATTGCACCAAATATAAGAAGTGTATAACTTAATCCTTGTGAGGGATAAGTTATTACCTTTTGTGGAAATTCTGACTTAGAGGCGTTATGAGCCACCAAAGTTATGCAGACTCTAGGTGGCCAAATCATGATCAAAACATGGGTGTGTTGGATTACAAAGCCTGTACTACTAGTCATTAAGCTAATTGGCCTCTCAAGCAGCTTGGAACACTTTGTAAATAATTATTCCCTTATCTCATTACTTTCTGAATTTTCTGCCTTCGCCTCCACCACAAAAACAGACCCATATTTGAAAATTTTTTTTTGTTTCTACCAACTTACTCTTATACTATTTACTTACTTTCATCTTTTAGCTAACCATGTTGGATATAATTTCTCAACTTTTAATACTGTTTCTGACCCATTTAAGGCATGTGCAGAGAAATGTCTGGAATGAGTAGAGGACAAGGAGAAGAGAAAGACTGAAGAAGTAGAAACAAGGCCGGGCATGGTGGCTCACATCTGTAATTCCAGCACTTTGAGAGGTCAAGGCAGATGGATCACTTGAGGCCAGGAGTTAGAAACCATCCAGCCAACATGACAAAACCCCATCTCTATTAAAAATACAAAAATTAGCTGGGCATGGTGGTACATACCTGCAAGCCCAGCTGCTTGGGCAGCTGAGGCATGAGAATCTCTTGAATCCAGGAGGTGGAGGTTGCAGTGAGCCGAGATGGCACCACTGCCCTCCCGCCTGGGCAACAGACCCAGACTGTGTCTTTAAAAAAAGAAGTAGGAAGAGGCTTGATCAACATAGGTTTTACTTGTTGATTAATTCTTCTATGTAATATAAAAATCAATAAAAAGCTTTAAGCAGATCATTAATCTGTTTGGAAATTAGTCGAGAGGCTATAGTCTAAGCAAAATGTGATGGTAACTTGGATTTGAATGCTAGCAATGATAATGGTGAAAAGTGAAGTTACTTAAACTATTTAGAAGGAAAAGTTGTTGGAACTTAATAATTTAGTGGCTGTAGGCTATGGCAAGAGGGAAATGTCAAGGATGACTACTGGACTTCCATGTTGTAAAAGTCACAGCTGGTGGTACTTTTCAGTGAGATCAGAAATCCTGGAACAATCCCAGATCTGGAGCAATTTGTAGCAGGGAAAATAGTTTGTTCAGTTTGGAGATGTTGAGTTCTGAAACATGCAAGTGATGGGATCAAGTTGGATATTTGAGTCTAATGCTCAGAGAAATTATTTGGGATAGAGATATAGATTTAGAAGTATACAGATAATAACAGAAGCCATGAGTTTAGCTGAGGTTGTCTAGGATGGAACCTTAAATGCATCAACTATTTAAAGCAAGGGAAAGGAAATGCTCTGGAATAGGAGAAGGAGCAGCCAGAAGACAGGAAGAAAGCCAGGAGATAACTGTCGTGGAAGAGAAAGAAGAAAAAGTTTTAAATGGAGGGATGGTCAATGGTGTCGAATTATGCTGAGAGGTCAAGAATACATTAGGAATGAAACATCTTCATTGCACTATTAAAATCAGGCAAAATGAATGTCTATCTGTAGAAGTCAGGAAGTAATTACCCTTTAGAAGGATCGTAAGTAAAATTGGACATGAAATGCCTTCAGGATTTCCAGTAATGTTCTGATTCTTGACTTGGGTGGGTTACAAAGGTGTGTTCACTTTGTAATACTTTGTTACATAGGTGTGTTCCACTTTGTAACACAAGTGTATTCCCTCTAGCCGTGATTTAACCAGGCCCTTCTCTGCTGGGCTCAGTCTTTCCATAGGCAAATCTGCATGACTGCTCACCTCCTCCTCCCCTGTGAGTCAGGGCCTGGAGCATATGATTATCTAACTATGCAATTATGATATATCTACTTTTCTGTATGCATGTTATACTACAATAAGGAATATTCATTAATAGAAAACTGGTCTGATATCTGGAAAATAATGCACATTTTCATGACATAGAAGTTCCATTTTTAAAAATTTGTCATACTGGTATAATAGAAAAATATGCAAAGATTTGTATAAAACGATGTTTATTACAGTGTTGTGTGTAAAGCCAAAAAAAAAAAAAAAAAACCCTAAATATTTTAAGTAACTCACTGATTAAATATAGTACAACCATTCAATGAAATTCTTTTTTTTTAATTAAAGTTTTTAATTTTTAATTTTTGTCATTCAGCTAAATTCTGTGTAATACTAGAAAACTAGGTTTGGTGACACAGAAAAGATGTACATAATAACACTAAATGCAAAAACAATTACAGAAAATATATGTAATCCACTTGAAAGTCAACTGTGAAGGTAAAGAGAGAGTAAGTATGTAGGTAAATAGTTTTGAAGGCAGTTTAATGGGTTTTACTAAAGGTAAAGGTTGATAAATGGTGGCATGTATTTTATGGTGTGGCCATGGCTAGGTATAATAATAAAATGACTCAGTACAGGCAACATGCTCAGCTTTCCTGAAATGTGTGCTTGTCTGTTTTGGATGAATCTTGACTAGGTTTTGTAAGCATCTGTATATTTTAGCAAGAATGAGTATTTTGTCTACCTAAGATCCACTGAGGACATAGAGGGGAATAACTGAGAATTCAGTCTGCTCACACTTTGGGAGCAAGATAGGTAAGTGAAGTTGTGGGGAACATTTATACAGCCTCTAAAATAGAATCTCACTTAACAATACAAGATTTGATTAAGTTTGCATTGTTTTAGTCACTAAGTTTTGTTCAATGATTTGAATTTTCATAAAGAACATGAGATAAATATATATTATATTTTCTTAAGCTGTCTTTGATACACCTCAAACTTTGTATCCCTTTTTCTAGCCTCAGTAAATAGTAAGGGCAAGGAAAAAATGACAATGAAAGTAAAAGGTAGCAGATGGAGTAACAAAACATGGAGTACAAATATTATTTCTTCCTTCTTGCCTGAAATCATTGCATTAAAATTATTATAATGAGGAAAATGAAGACAGTAGAGACACAAAAATATGGAATTTTTTTTTCTACATCAATTTGGCTAGTTAACATTTCCTAAGCTTCTAATAGCCCAAGATTCTCAATCTAAACTCCAACAATAAAACCTAATTGTTAATTTACACTTTGCTTTTTCTGATCTTGGCCCTGAAGGATGGAATCAAAGAAGGAAGAGTCACTTCTAGTGTCTCCTTTTATCCTAACCTCCTCCCACCTCAGCAGTGCTAGTGGGAACGTACGTGTATGTTCCCAGCACTGTCCCAATTTTGTTCACTACTTGAGGAAACTTTTTTCCTTGAGACAACTTTTGTTCACTTCTTAATTTTGATCTTATGATTTTAAAAATTACAAAACGTGCCAGGCACGGTGGCTCACAGCTGCAGTCCCAACACTTTGGGAGGCCAAAGTGGGTATATCACCTGAGGTCAGGAGTTTGAGACCAGCCTGACTAACATAGAGAAACCCCATCTCTACTAAAAATGCAAAAAATTAGCTGGGTGTAGTGGCTCATGCATGTTATCCCAGCTACTAAAGAGGCTGAGGCAGAACTGCTTGAACACAGGAGGCGGAGGTTGCGGTGAGCAGAGATCATGCCATTGCACTCCAGCCTGGGCAACAAGAGTGAAACTGTAAAAAAAAAAAAAAAAAAAAAATTACTAAATGCATAGCTAATGTCTGAATTTTCCTCTTACTAATTTATTTGCAATTTTCCTTTTCACCAACAAATGTATGTGATTTCGAGGCAAAATATATTTTAGATTTTAAACACTGTTACAAGACATTCCTTATGACAGGACTATGAGATGTTCACTTAATCCTGTGCAGTTATTGCAGTGAACACTAGATGTCAGATTTCAGTTCTAGATTATTTCCCAGCAGAGGGAGCACTTGAATTGTTTCCAAATGTTTCTTTAGAATTTTTGCCTCATCCTTTCAGCAGATTGCTATAAGCTTAACTACCACATCAAAGGATATGAACATTTTAAAATCTCAACATATAATGTGTAACATTTGTTTCAAATGATTGTGCCAACCTATCCCATTTGATCTCACTGTCCCAGAGTTGAGTTGTTTTCTTTTTTGTTTTGAGACCGAGTCTCGCTCTGTCACCAGGCTAGAGTGCAGTGAGGCATCTCGGTTCACTGCAACCTCTGCCTCCTGGGTTCAAGCGATTCTCCTGCCTCAGGCTCCTGAGTAGCTGGGACTATTGGAGCCCACCACCATACCCAGCTATTTTTTTTTTTTTTTAGTAGAGACTGGATTTCACCATATTGACCAGGAGGGTCTCAATCTCCTGACCTCGTGATCTGCCCACCTCAGCCTCCCAAAGTGCTGGCACCTGGCAATCACATGGTTTTAAAAACAGGAGTTTCTCTGCACAAGCTCTCTCTTTGCTTGTTGCCATCCATGTAAGACATGACTTGCTCCTCCTGGCCTTCCACCATGATTGTGA